AACAGCTTGCAGCACAAATCGAAACTAAAATTTGATTCATCGCAGTACTACTGCCAGCTCACTTTGAGTTGTTTTTTTAAATACGTCACCATGCATTAAAGACACATGATAGAGCCGTGTGATATAATTTGACCAGCCACAGTCAACTAATAGGCAGTCATTGCTGTTATTTTAACATTATTATGAGGACATAAAAGATCACGATCTATACGGTTCACTTGAAAAGTAGATAGTAGACGCCTTCGAGATCGATCACGATATAAAATCAACAGATCGCCCACCCCTAATAGAGAACTAGTATTTTAGCTAGAAGCAACAGTTTAAACGTTTAAAAGTTAAAAACATCCTAATGATGGTTGGAAACATGCAGCTTTTTACGTCACAAGACATTAATTGATGGACTGGAGTCGTATGGATTCCTTGTAAATTAGTGTGATGTTTTTATCAGCTGTTTGGACTCTCATTCTGACGGCACGCATTCACTGCAGAGGATCCATTGGTGAGCAAGTGACATAATGCTAAATTTCTCCAAATCTTTTCTAATGAAGAAACAAACTCATCTACATCTTAGATGACCTGAGGGTGAGTACATTTTCAGCAAATGTTCATTTTAGGGTGAACTACTCCTTTAAAGTACATTTATGATAATGCTCTTTTGAATTCTGCTTCAACTTCTCACTGTATTTAAACACAAACAAACCTGTCTTTCACACACAATTCTGTACTTTTTTAATACACTCACATACACATACCTTACTCTCTACGCTCTGTATACTTCAGATGCCCCAGGGCTTCTTGCAGTTGCCACAAACCTGATGCCAGGCCAGCTAATCCAAGTATTTCTCCCATTCTTACAGCTCTAGTTACCCACCAAGCATTATACTACACATATACAAAAACAATGACAACTCTACACACAGACATACGCACAAAAACAGACAAGCAGATCTATAGTCATGGATGCTGTCATCCATTTCAACATTAACTCGACAAACAGCCAAACTCAGCAGAACTTCTGGGAATTTCAAAGGACTTGGAAAATGTCTTTGTTATCATTGTGAGATCCTGTGAAGTGCCCCTCTGAAGAACAGCTGTTTCAACCATTTTTGATCCGACTCATGTACATATAAACCTCATTGTTTGATTATGTTAGATTAAAGCCAGTATTTCTTAGATTTACATGTGTAAATGAAGCCTTGTGATTTGTTTTGCTAATGAATGCATGTGTGTGTGAGGGTGTTGACGGATGGCTAAAGCTAGTGCTGAAGGCATGCGGTGAAGCCCATGAGGTAATGTAGTAAAGCAGCATTAAATTACCAGCAGACAAAACAATAGCCTGTCTCTGCTCTGTCCGACCTGCTGCGTCCAGTCAAACAGCACTTGATTCGAATGGCCAGTGCTTCCAGAACACCCACTGAGCACAAAACCCTTCCTGAATGCACATTTCCATTATGTTATGGTATAGATATGCAATGTATGGAACACTTCAACCCCCATTGCTCTGAGGTCATAAGAATACACATCCAACCATATCTTTAGCTGCAGGCATCTTAGTTTATGGCTGAGCTTTTGCATATATATATATATATATATATATATATATATACTGAATATGTGAAGAGTTCATTTGCAAAAACCGTCTGAAGGAGTTTCGTCAAAGCTGACTAAAAGTGATCGAGGATGGATAATTTCGACGAACGTGATGAACCTATGATATCTTTGGGGCGTAAAAGGAAAATAAAAGCTGAAACTTTTTCACAGAACCTTGCTAAAGCAGCACGTTACAGTGGTGAGGGAAAAGCTCCCTGTATTGCGCGTAATCACAATAAAAAAGTTTGTCAGGCGTCTACATTGTCAGCTGAGGAGATTACAAAGATTAACCGAGTGTTATCTGCTTTTGCCAAAAAAGGACTGTTGGAGTTATCTGCTTTGCTAAAAAAACAAACTTTTAATATATAAAAAAACATACTTTCAATGAACTTTAATTTTGTAAGTTACCTGTATTTTTTGAGTTTTTATTATTTAATTAAAACAACCCAACTGCAGTTTGATTGATATTACTTGGAATGCACAATAACAAAAAATAAAACATGATTTATAAAAATTCATAAAATCAGAGTTATCTGTTTTTATTTAATCGGAGTTAACTCTTTATTTAATTAATATTTAAAATGGTTGTAATTCATGTTTAAAAAATGTATAGTTATATGTATTTACATTTACAAAAAAATATGTGTGTGCATGAAAATAAATGTATTAAATGTATATATATATATATATATATATATATATATATTCTTTTAAAATGTGATTTTTATTATTTAATTAAAACAACCCAACTGCAGTTTGATTGATATTACTTGGAATGCACAATAACAAAAAATAAAACATGATTTATAAAAATTCATAAAATCAGAGTTATCTGTTTTTATTTAATCGGAGTTAACTCTTTATTTAATTAATATTTAAAATGGTTGTAATTCATGTTTAAAAAATGTATAGTTATATGTATTTACATTTACAAAAAAATATGTGTGTGCATCTGATGTATGAAAGAGACTTGTTCCCCATATTCCATATCACTATATGGAATGCAAAAACTTTGAAGCTCAATATCTCGAAACTGCTCAGAATGCAGATACAACCTTATAATTCCAAGGTGACGAAATGTAAAAATGTAGAAATACAGTATGCTGATTACACAGGAATAAAACACTGAGATAAACAGAGAATATGCATGACACTCTAAAATGTATGTAATGTAACTCAGTGTGTGAATATGACATCTGGTGCGTTTGCTGCCTGAGCCAACAGCAAGACAAAACAGGACTAAAAATACACACTTATGCTCACAACAGAGAACTCAAGAACTCAAGAAATGATGGCACACATCCCTAGCAAAACTTGTGTGGACATGTGAGTCCAGGTAAGACATACTAGGTTGCTTCTCTAATATTCTCCTCAGGATTAAAATAGAAAACTACACAGTCTTTCACTTACACACAAACCAAGAAATACACTCTGGAAAAGTGCCTGGCCAAGATTTTCCATCAAACAAGAGGCAAACACTCTCATGTTCCACTAGTTGAGAATACAAACTCTGAGAACTCAAATAAAAGATGTATTTACAGCCTGTCCATGATAAGATACAGAGTTCACACAGAGTGCACCAGCAAATGATCAAAAATCTCATAAAGCTAAAAAAAAAAAAAACATTAAACCTGATAAGCAGACGCTTGAGAGCGAGGATCAATCTTCAACCGGATATGAAACTCATAATAAGCGGATTTCATGCAGCATTCATTTTGATTTTAATGAAAACTGAAAAAAAAACATACTGTATTTCAGATTCAAAAATACAATGCTAAAACACTGGAATTGAATCGGTTTCATGCTTTGCAACATTATAATCAAAGTATATTTGTTAGCCAGGCAAAAATAAACAAAACAGCTGTCCATAATCTGTCGGAAATGTAAGTTATTCAATATTATTCAATGTTTTCTTTTATATTTAGTACAACAGTGCTCCTGCTTGTGTGATATTGCTTTTTAAGTCTTTGTAGATCTGTGTGGGTATCAGTTTAATCCAGTTTGTTCACCACCTGATACAATCTGAGATCCACTGTTTCATATGAAGGATGCTTCGCTTGGCAAAACAAAATCCCGCGCTTGATTTCTGCCGAAAGCCTCACCCATCTAATTATGCGATTATGGAAAAGAATAAGATAAAAGTAAGTAAACTGTCTTTCGTAGGGCTTGCCTGAAGTCATTGAACCAAGTATTCAAGACAACGTGCACACTGAAAATACATTGAGAACAACACGTTTAGTAATGATGATTGATGCATTACAGCTTGGTTTATGGTTTTAAAATGAATGTGGCTTTGTTTTAGACAAAAGAATTTGGCTACAAACCATTCACTCCATACTTTTCAGCAACATAGTTTTTGTTGCATTGAAAATGTTTGTCAGCCAGGCAAAATGTAATATTTAATGCGTTTTTCCCCATCATCTTCCCACATTCTGTAATTGTATATGCTAAACACTAAAATAGTGACGAAACCCCTATATGCTACATGTTATTTTTAACTAAAACTAAATGTATTATAAATAATTTTTGGTAATTTAAATTAAGCTGATATAAAATATAAATAAATAATAATTAAAAAAATTTGGAAAATTTGAAATATTGCACCGAAATAAACTAAAATAAATTCAAAATTATTGAAAAAAGTTAAAAATTACTAAAAAAAAAAAAATAATAGAAAAGGCTACATAGAAATATATTTAAATAAACTAAAAATTAAAAAAGCACATAGCAAAATGTAAAACTAAAATTAAAATGAAAACTGAAAACATAAAAATAACATTGCAAGTGTAATCTCTTTCTGCGAGCTAAAGGCCCGTTCACACCAAGGACGATAACTATAACGAAAACGATAAAGATATAGTTCTAAAAATCGTTCTCAATATTAAAGAATAGCAGAGTCCACACCACAACTATAACGATAAAGACAAAGAGAAACGATATCGTTGGAATCACTTACGAAACTATTTTTCTCCAGCTGATGAACGATAAAAAAATGACAGCCAATCAGAATCCATCCTGCTGTAACGAGCTCGTGAATTTAAAGCGGCAGACGAGCGTGCTCTTAGAATAAACAGACGATATCGTTCGCTGGTGTGGACGCTAATATCGTTATCTTTATAGTTATCGTTCTTGGTGTGAACAGGGCTTAAGTGTCGCTCTGATTAATTTATCCTCCTCTGCTGGAAGAGACCTGAGGAGAGGGCAGAAAACATCCTCCACCAGCTGTCTCACATAAATGAAACTTCAGTTTAAAAGATTTCAGCGTGTGTATTCTTGTTCCAGCTTCTGTATTAGAATGTCAATTTTTTACCAAGCTCTACCATTCAAACTGTAGGATGACTGACCCTGTTTTGCATATAACATTGTAGAGTGTGTTTGTGGATCCAATTGCATGCAGTTGTGGAACTCACCTTTGCTGGGTTTTCCGACATGCACTTTGAGTGGCATTTCCTGGCACAAGAGTGATGGACTCTGCGGCATGATCTCAGGACTGAAACCGTCGTCTGTCTGCCCTCCTGTGACCTCCCGATGCACGGTCTGGAAAAAGAGGTCAAAGGTCAAACACAGGTCTAGCCTGAACATGGACAAGCATATTGTCCGGTCAGTGCTGTCACACTTGGGCAGCTGAGTCTTATTTAATTCACTCTGACAGCACAGCAGCCTGCTTCTTTAGATCACTCCATATTACTATTGGTTAAGTCTGTATTTACATAACTATAATAGCCATTACTGACGATGAGGATACACCTGGTTTGTGCTGAGCACAATGTGCCATGAATTATGGGCTGAACAGAATATGAAATCAAGAGACATTTAGAAACTCAATACTCAAATTATAAAGACAAGCCTGTTGAATTTTTAAAAGAAACTACATCTGAACAAAATGTATAGGCACTTCAGGATGTGTCACATGTAAATTCAAAATTAAGAGATATAAAGTTGCAACTGTAAAAATCAAATAAAAATCAAATCATGAAAAAAGAAAACTGGACTAAGAAAAGGCACTCTGTATCGCTGAACAGTTTTGTTACTGTGTTTGGCAACATCCTGGTGTTCAATGAAACAAAACAACTGTCTCAGACTTGCATTAAAGTGAGTCATGGACTTCCTGGTAATAGATGACTGTTTTATAATTAGTCAACTCAATGCACATGTGTCTTAAATTATGTAATTTTTCATCACTTCGGAGCAGCACATCTAAGAATTAAAAAACATATAAATGCAAATATGCTTGGCTTTTTAGCTTTGATTCATCAGATAATCACATTACAATCCCAAAACCCAATCTGATTGGCAGACTCAATAGTCAAATATTTCAGCTCATCCGCCTTTTTGCTCTCAGGTTACATCTTCCAGCTTATTAAAACAGAGTATGAGCAAGAGGAGGCTGGTACCACATATGCTAAGCACAGCAGCTAGTAAAAGCCAGCTCTGAAGCCAATTAGGACTGCCGTACAGTCCACCGCTGCCACATCCACATACCACGCTGCCAAATCTCCGTTCCTCTCTTTGAAAAACATGCCCTTCTGTTGAAGACTCTAAACTGTAATTTAGAGTAAATACAACAGTAAATGGGGAAGGAACTTGATTTTATTCATCAGGAATTGGCTGGATCTTGAAACATAGCCATTGAATTTAAGAACATAATTAGTTGGTTATAAATATATATATATATATATATATATATATATATATAAAAAATAATAAGTTTATGAAGGTAAGCAATTATTTATTCAACAGAGCCTTATGGTAGCCATTGACTTCCATAGTATGGAAAAAAACACTACGGAATTCAACGGCTACCGTCAACTGTTTGTGTACCAACATTCTTCAAAGTATCTTTTTTGTGTTCAGCAGAAGAAAGCAACTCATTCAGTTTTGGAACAACTTGAGGGAGAGTAAATGATGACCGAATTTTCATTTTTTGGATGAACTACCCCTTTTAACTAAAGTACAATCCATTGAACACACTGTACTTCCATCCCTCACAGCCTCGTTTTTATTCCTCTAAAACTTTAAATATGGCGCCAGCCTGACTCTATTTATGCCTCCATTGCTTTACAAGTAGAAAGAGCTCAAATGGGCCCAATTTGGCTGTCATGGTATCTTTAATAAGTGAAATTTAATTAAAATAAATGTTGGCGATTACAATCAAAGCATTACAAAAAGATGCTTGAGACAAAACAGCATGTGTTTTTATTGATGTTTAGGCTAGTGTAAAGGCCTGTTGAACAAGCGAGCAGTCTGTGCCTCCTGATGATTCACAGGAGAGTTACACAGAGGGCTGATTTAAGCATGGAGAAATGTGCTGAGCTTCAGTTCATGAAAGCCAAAACCAACAAATCACTAAATAGAACCGCCTTCTCTGCCTTCACAGGGTACTTTCCCACTACACCCGCTCAAGCACATGTTTCGTACTTATGTTATGAGCCCATGTCTATACAGATAACACCCCAAAGGAGATATTTACATCTGACAACACAGGGAATCACCAATAAAAGTTTCAACATATGGAAGTGTTTTATCACATTTCATCAACTTGCATTTTGGCGCCACTGTGTTTTGGATTGTGCACTGACATAAAGATTTCTGCCTGGATTACATTTTACATTTTAACTCCTTTACAGTAGTAACTACAGAAATTGATATCACATAACCTCAAAGCAAGTATTTTAACCCCTTTGCTGTCACCCCCCCATTTTCGGCATGGAGACACAAATGACATACCCAAAATGGTTGCTGCTCATGAGTCTTTCTGACTAGATACATAATCAACAGGTTCACAAAGCTGACACTTTTACTGTTCAAGAATCAGAATTACTCAGACTGCTATGATAATAGAGATATATAAGCTCAAACATAAAAACAAAAATTTAAATATAATTTTTTTTAAATGTACATAAAAATATGTATGTTGCTGTGGTAAATGCTTTTAGAAATACAATGAAGCTAAAGCCACAAGTCTACTAATGCTTCACTTCAAATTTCAGGACATAATCTCCAAAACTATTAATTTTATGAAACATTTTCTAAGACCATGTCATGTGTGTTTTTAGAGAAGGCTAATGAAATTGATTTATGGCCCCCTGTAAGCTCTCCTGCGTGTTATTATCTCATGTCTGGCCCGGCAAACTGCCCCATTCATGATTCTATTGTTCTCACTCGACGAACCTTTCACACCTCCGCCAGGTATGACACATAATCCTCATTATTCCTTTATCATTATTCTTTTGTTTTTATTCAGCCATAATAGCCTTTATTCTGGCATTACAAGGTTTACCAAGCCATATCGCTTCAATCCAAGTATACATTTGATTTACCCAACTATTATCAAAAGTATTTCTAAAAAAATTCAACAAAACATTTTCTTATGACCTGAATTATTATGACAAAATGCATTATGAAGAAGAACTGCACCTGTTCTGCAGCTGCATTAGAGCTAACATTAGCATCAAGCTACATAAGACAATTTATGAGATTATTAGTACACTTTTACTCAAAACTCACTTTAAACCACCATCGAGTGTTTGTAATAACTTCCAAACGTTTGTAATGTGCAATTTGGTCGTTTACTGCTGTTAAAATATGCTTTTTATAGCCTTTTATATTGCTGCACAAATTATCATTTCAGATGTACACATTCTTTATTGTTATGAAAATACCCCAAATCTCAAGAAAATCACATACAAACCATATCCTATCGTAATCGTGTGTTTATTATCTTTATTCTTTGTGTGTAAAAGTGTTTATCTGGGTTTGTTATGGTCAGAAATTAACGTGGAAGAGCACGGGAAGTCCATCACAGATGAGACAGGGCGGGATGTGATGCGCAATATGATTGACATTTCACCAGCAAATCGACTTTCTCGGACTCATACTACGACCACGGAAGAGTATAACACACAGATACAGCGCTAGGAAGTGCTAATGCTAATGAAATCACCTAAATTAGTGGAAAATGAATAGAAATTATGATTCTGTCTGAAGAAATATGAAGTAAACGTGTAAATATATCTATATATCTCCATCGTTGGACTATAAGCCCTTATTGACGCTGTTCAGTGAAGCTATGTGAACACAAATAAACCGCTGCTGACGTGACTGAATATGAATGCGT